CCAGTCATTTTTGGATAATCTTCAGTAAAATCTTGCTTGCATGTGAAATCAGTGAGATTGTTCTGTAGTTTCCACATTCTGTTGGGTCACCTTTCTTTGGGATAGGAACAAATATAGAACTCTTCCAGTCAGTTGGCCAAGTGGTCGTTCTCCAGATTTCTTGGCACGACTTGGTGAGCACGTCCAGGACAGCATCTGTTAACTGAAATATGTCAATTGGTATGCCATCTATTCCTGGAGCCTTATTTTTTGCCATTTCCTTCAAAGCAGCCTGATCTTCTTTCATCACCATAGGCTCTTGCTCATATGTTGTTTCATGAAATTCTTCTGTGTCTTCGAATTCCTTTCGATACAGTGACTCAGTATACTCCTTCCATCTTCTTTTAATACTTCCTGGATCATTTAACATTCTGCCGAAAGCATCCTTGATTATAGCAACTCGAGGTTTGAATTTGTTCTTCAGTTCCTTGAGCTTAAGATATGCCTTCTTATCGCAGTAGGCAGCACGTCAGTCTAATAATCTGAAGGTCCTGAGTTCGAGCCTCAGAGAGGGCAAGGAGTGTTTTTCACCCAAGAAAGGCAATTGGACCATGAACCTTTCCCAGTTCTTGAGGTAATAACAATAGCAATCTATATATGAAGGAATCCTGGCTGTGTAGTTTGTAATGCGTCAAGCTGCTGACCATGATGTTGGCAATTCAAACCCATCAGGTGGGAGAAAGATAGGCACTTTTCTCCTTTACAGATAATGGAGGCTTGGAAACCCAGTGATAGTCACTATGAATTGGAATTGTCTCAATAGCAGTGAGTTTTGTTTTTGTTTTTTTTTTTTTAAATTTTTTTATTTTTTATTAAGTTTTGTGTGCGTGTACCGTCAAATCAGATCTGACTGGTACAGGAGGAGATTGCCCCTCCTTCCCCGGCAGAGCATCTGGTGGATTTGAACCGGAGTTTTGTTTTTTATATCCAGCCATGTGATTAAATTCAAAACCAGTGACTAGAAAACCCATATTGAATAATCCACTTTAGCACCATTTTCTAATTGCAGAGATGATCAGATTTTTTTAGACACATTACTAAAAATATTGTTTCTATAGGAAGCCTTGGGAAATTTTGATAATCAATTGGCTTTTTAAAAAAATTTAAATTTTATTATTTTTGTGTGTATGTACTATCAAATCTGATCTGACTGGTACAGGAAGAGATTGTCCCTCCTTCTCCAGCAGAGCATCTGGTGGATTTGAACCACATACCTCTGGGATTGCAGTTCAGTTGGCTTTGAAAGGCCCGGTTTATTCTTCTTTCTGAAAATATTTTTATTTAACTGGAAAAATAGTTTCCTTAGCATCTGAAAATAAGTTTACATACCTTGTGTATTTTTATTTTGTCTCAGTTTCAAATTTTCAACAGTGTTAACATCCTGAAAATTTCTTGTGTGAGTGATATTGTTCTAATACAGATGATTCCTATTAAAGATGCATGAACTTGTCTTCTTTTGGTTTGTTATAAGTGTTACAGTTTGTTGTCTCTGTAATCTAATATAATAAAAAATAATTTAACTTTTTAATATAATATAATGTACACTGCTTATTACTTTCACACAAACTGTTGAATTAGGTTTTTATTTTCCATAATTAGAGTTAAGTGGTATTAGAATGTGATATATGTAAGGAGCCCTGATAGCATAGTGATTAAGAGATTAGGTGAGTGTAATAATCACTATACTTTAGAAACTGAGTTGCTACCCAGAAGGTTGGTTGTTCAAACCCACCAGCCATTTGGTTAGAGAAAGAGATGGAAGTCTACATACATGGCTGTTATTTTAGAAGGGTAGGGTAAGTTAATAAACTTAGTTCGCCGATTTCACCTTTAAGTGAGGCAGGAGAGCCTTGCTTATTGAAATTTTTATTTAAGAGTTTAAGAAATAGGACTGATTTACCACTAGTTCACATAAGTATCCACCTTCATGGGCTTCTTGAAATCTAAGAAAATAAACGTTCTTTGAAAAATCAAGAGAGTTACTAGTAATATGAAGATGAATCATAGGGGAAAGTATAGTTTATTTTACAGTTCCAGAATGTAATGCAAGGAAAAAGAATACTTGAATTGACATTTAGAAATTACCTCTGTAAAGCCTACTACATAGTCATACTTATTAAAACAGCTTGATACAGTGACAGTACATAGACTAGTAAAATAGAATTAAGAACCCAGAAATCAATCTGTACACCTTTGGACAAATGATCTGTAACAAAGGAATAAAATCTAAAATTGATGAAGAGACAGCCTCTTTAACAAATGGTGTTGGCAAAACTGGGCATCTATTTGCAGAAAATTTAAACTAAATCCATACATCACACCATATAAAAAAACTAACTCAAGGTGGTTCAAGCACCACCACATAAAAACTGTATAAAATTCATGAAAGAAAATGTTGGCAAATTCTAGTGGTAAGAAACTACACTGCAATCCTGAAGACACACACTGCTAATCTACCAGCTGCTCCACAAGGAGCAGGTGACACGGGTGGGCAATCTCTTCCTGTGAAATTTACTCTCTCTGAAAATCTGCTGGAGGGTCAGCTATGGGTTGGTTCTGACTTGACGATACCCAACAACAACAACCTTTTCAACCTATATGCAGAACAGATTATCCGGGAGGCTGGGCTCTATGAGGAGAAATGTGGGGTCAAGATTGGTGGACGATTTATCAACAAC